GGTAGCGGGTGTGGCAGGGGGCCCCCAGCCCCGGAGCTGCCTTTCGGGCCGCTCTTCTCAGGGCAGTGAGTTTAGCAGACGCTTTCCACCTCTAGTCGTAGCACTCTGAGCTGTGTTTCTCTCTCTTTAGTCTCTCTTAGCTGGGTGTTCAAGTCAAGGCACTAGAGTTTAGTGTCAGCTGATTGCGTTGTTAGCGCTGTAATTAGGCAGAGGGGTTCATCTCTTTCTTTGTGGTGGGGACTTGCCCTGGGCTCAGCTCAATAGCACAGAGCACACGGAGCCACCGCTGGGGACGGGAAGGAACAGACCAAGCAAATAGAGCTCATGTATGCCCTATTTTACAAGACGTATGCATTTCAGCCGAAATTGTAAGTTATTTTTTTGGACTGCAGCATATGGAGGCATAGAGAGCTTTTATTTTCTTTAAAAAAGAGTTTTTAAATAAGAAGCCTTTATTCATTCTTAAAGGAAATAAGAAGGGAAACTTGCAGCAAATATGCTGCAGAGTGTGGGGTTGTGGCTTTGGTGTAACTGACCCAAAAATTCAGTTTTGACTAAAATTTGCAGCTTCCACCTGGAAATCACCAGGAAAATGATATCTAGGGCATTTGCACACCTAATGAGTTTCAGTAAGCAAATCATTTAAACTAGGAAGGGGTGAAAAAGATAATGAAGAGAGGTAATAATTTGCTAGTGATTTAAACTAATAAGCAGTGGCACCTATTTAAACAGTGTTTTTAGGTCCATTTTTGCAGAGCTCTGAAGCTTTGTGGTAGTAGGGGTTAGCAAATCTCGGTTGCATAGGTACGATTATCTCATTTACTTGGTTTTGACAAAACCATTTGTGTGGCAGCATAGCTTTATCAGAACAAAAACCTTTTTTAGAAGGGTAACTGATGAAACATCATGTGTGGAATTCCAATCTAACATAGAACCTGTACTTGGAACCAAAGACATGTTAACTTGCTTTTGAACAATAAATGGGCTTAGGATAACACCACTCGAAAGGGCTGTGAGAAACTTATGTTTGAATTAATTATATGTATAAGTAGGAGTTGACGCAGGGGATCTTCTCTATCCCAAGTGAATTCTGTACGCTATTGTTCTGTCACCTCTTTTATGTTTGTTTTTTAAATTAATTGTTTTGATTTTTTTAATCAAATAGAATATTTCTTTTAAGTTTCCACTGTTTTGCAGATAGCTCTGGTGGATAATCTCTCTCTGTGAACTTTAGGCTCAAAGAGTCTTACTAGACTGGGATATGCACAGGATTAAGTCTGTATCCTCTTTTATCTGTGCACTTTATTTCAGGTGGCTATCTGAAAAAAAATAGTGGATCATAAGAAAAGAATGTGAATAAAAATCAAATCTGATATTAAAGATGGCTGGAATTATACTTGAACAGCAATTAGCTGGATAAAAAAACAAATATGGTATTGTATCAGGGTTGGGAAGGTGGCAAGAGAGATGTTGACTTGCTAGACCAGTAAGCTGTGCAGAATCCAGCTCAAGAGGCTGAGGGTAGTGCAGGAAAAAATGGGATTATTTTCCTCTTAATCAATTTTTTTTTTTTTTTACAAAAAATAAATTATCTAAAGGTAGGAAGATACATGCTTTAGATTTACTTATTAAAGGCTGAGGAACTGTCTAGATTCTCAGATTAGAAAAGAAAAACGTGAAGTCAATTACATTCAGTCTATCCAAATTCTGAAGTAACTTAAATGACTAAACCACTAACAAAATTATAATGTTACCAAAATGCCCTCTTCCACCCTGGATCTTCATTTACAGAATAGATACAGTGCTCTGGTAGCTGAGGGGGAGGAAGTGGCTCAGTCAAAGGCAGCTTCAGAGACTGCAAAGCCTGAATTGAGTATAGGCAGCTGAGGAAACAGGCTATGTGCGGTCACAGACCTATGAAACGATTCAGTTACTGACATGTGATGGGATGGCTTGCGCGACTGGAGTTCTGTGATACACGGAGACAGGCTGCCTGGGAAAGATGCGCAGGAAGAATAGTGTGTGTAGGGTTGCCTGTTGGGGGAAGGAGCAGCATGGATGCATGGAACTCTTTGGTGGAATATGGGGGACAGTCACCACGAGAGCTTGTGGGTCAGGAGCAGAGGAGGAGCCAGTAAGGGTGACAACATCGTGGGAGTCTGTTATAGACCACTTGATCCAGAGAAAATGATGCATGATTTCTTCTTTAAGTAAGTTGAGGAAGTGTCCACATCACAGACCCTCCCCACTATTTGCTCGGAGGGCAGTGCAGTGGGATGCAAGCACTCCAGGAGATTTTTAGGGTGAGCTGAGAGTAACATCTTAACACCAGTATGGACCAACGGATTGGCCAGCCTGGGGATGTGGTCTCCTGAATCTGCAGTTCATGAGCAAGGAAGAACTGACTGGAAACATGATAATCAATGGCAACCTTGGCTGTAGTAACTATGAAATAGTGGAGTTCAGGCTCCTGAGGGGAGTGAGGAGGGTGAGTAGCAGAATAAAGCTGTGCTTCAAGAGAGCAGACTTTGACTTCTTCAGGGAACAGCAGGTGAGATGCCATGGGAGACAACTCTGAAGGGCAAAGGAGCTCAGGGAGATAACTGGTATTTAAGGACAGTCCTCTTCCAAGCACAGGAACAGTCCATCCCAATACTTAGGAAAACATGCAGGCAAAGCAGAGGATTGGATTGACTAATTGGGGAGCTCGGGACAGAACTCTGAAGCAAAACAGGCGTATCCAGGAGGCAGAAGCAGAAACAAGCTACGAAGGAGGACTACAGGAATATTGTCTGGGCACGTGGGTATGGCATTAGGAAGCCAAAGGGAAACTTGAGCTGAACCTGGCAAGAGATGTGAATGGTGACAAGCTGCTGCTGCTGCTGCATTATCAGGAAAAGGATACACTGGGAAAATGTGGTGCTCTTGCTGAATGGGACAGGTCATTTAGCGACAGCAGACGCAGATAAGGTTGAGGTAGTCAGTGTCATCTTTGTCTCAGACTTCACTGACAAGGTCTCCTAGGCCTTTTTGCCACAAGGCAGGCCTCAGGGTGAAGAGGAACTACCAGTTGTGGAAGAAGATTGAAGCAAGAATTGCCTGACATGAAAATGTGACCTGTACGAGACCATGGGACCAGATGAGCTGCACTCAAGGGATCCAAGAGAGCTGACAGTATCTTTGCAAAACCCCATTCTGCCCTTCTTGAAGGGTCATGGAGACTGGAGGAGATTCCCGGAGACTGTAGAAAGGCAAATCTTGCATCCGTCTTCATAAAGGGCAAGAAGGACAATCCAAGGAACTACAGGTTGGTCAGCCTCACTGCTTTACGTCCCTGGGAGGATAATGGAAGAAGTCCTCTGGGAAGGCATTTCTGGGCATAAGAAGGAGGTGATGGTGACTGGGAATAGCCAGCTTGGATTTACCGAGGGCAGGTTGTGCCTGACCAACGGTATTGTTTTCTGTGACAAAATATAACTAGATTTAAAGATGAGGGGAGAGTGGTGGATGTCATCTATCATGGGCCTTGGGGGACCTAATAGCAGCCTCTGTATACCTAAGAGGAGGTGACTGAGAAGATGGAGCTGCTCCTTCTACTTCTTTTCAGAGGACTGAGAGACAGTGGGCACGAATTGAGATAGGGGAAGTTCCAATTTGAAATAAGGGGAAAAAATATTACAGTGAGGACAGTCAAGCATTGGTTGCCCAGAAAGGCTGTGGGATCCCTATCCTTGGAGGTTTTCAAGAACCGGATGGACAAAGTCCTGCAGAAGCTGGTCTGTATCCGCTGTTGACCTTGCTTTGAGCAAGAGGTTGCACTGCATGACCTCCTGAGGTCCCTTACATCCTGAGTGATTCTGTGATTCTTAATGTTTTGTTTGTGAGGACTCAAAAGCAGAAAATATGAGGCAATTGTGTAGTCTTAGCAATTTCAGACAAACTGGCTACTGTGATAACTGATTGAAATATTGATTTAAAAGTATATGATAAAATATGCTAGCTGTAGAATAGAATATAAAGTAAAGGATACAAATACCACCAACTCCATAAGAGAAGAATTTAGTCCTCTAAAATTCTTTGGACAATGTCCCAAATAAATAAGAACTGATTAATAAAAATGAGAATAAAAGTTCAGGGTTTTTTCTGTTTAAGATTTTCCTTTATTAAAAAATAATGTTCTTTATTAGGACTTAATATTAAATCTAGAAGTGGTCTGGAAACTGTGTTATTGACAAATAAGCCAAATTTACCACTGTCACAGTTATTAGCTTAGTCAGGAGGAGAGAAAATCCGAGGAATGGAGGAATCCAAAGGGCGGGGGGGGGTGAACTGATATGATCGTGATAAGCGAAATTAATTATTGATAAACGCAACGTAGCACATTGGAAGAAAGAATTTGTGCTACTGATTCACGTAATAGTTTTAAGTTAACTACTGCAGGAGATGATGAAGGTAGCTGTAAAGGAGACATGAGTGAAAGTCCTACTTTTCATAATCAGTGTCAGGGAGAAGTGTAAGTATAGCTGAGTTTATAAAGAAGGGATTTTATTAATAGCATGGCAATATGAATTGATGGCGTGTACTTTCTTGAAAGGGAATGTTCAATTGCACACCTGTCTCAGAAAATAATGCGAATGCGAGTTGAGAAACAGACTGGTGAAAATGTGAGAATATGACTGCCTCTGAAAATGCAATGTAATTAGATCCATTTAGCTGAACGTGATGATGAAAAAGATAATATAGTATGAAGGCAGGCAAAACAATAGCTCATAAGTATGCGGAAAGGGGTTCTGGTACCTAGAAAGAGTGACTATTAAGTGGAAAGACCACATTTTCTATATAGCATTCCATGAAGTTGAGATGTCTTTGGCAGAAGACAGTAGTTTGGCCAAGAAGGGAGAGATTCAAACAATTCTTAGACATTTGTATGAATGACAATCTACTGATCACCATTTTTTTCCCTATAGGGATTTAAACCACTCAGAGTAGTCCACATTGAGAAGTTATTCCATGATTGTTCATTGCAGAGGGATTTTTAGTATTATCACAGATACTTAAGAGAGTTTTATTACCACACATTTGGTTGTCTGTGTGCATTGTCAAACAATTTTATACAGTAGTGGAGTACTGTCATACAGAGACCTAGGTCAAGAAACATATTTTTAATTCTAGGCTAATGGGTTAGCCACTTAATTGCTAGAGAGAGCACTTAAATTCTTGCCCCTGCTCCATGAGTTGTTTATGCGTTCCATTCAGTTACCGCTTAATGCAAAATGCAAAACCAGTTCTGCCCTGTGTGCAAAGATTATAACACAGCCCTCTAATCTCAGAGATGCATATCCAAACTGCTGCACAGCAGCAGGTCATATTCACTCTTTTCCTATCTTTTTTTTCTAAAAACATTTGGCCTGTTTTCTGTATGAGGATTCCACTGCAAGAAGGACATCGAGGCGTGCTCTTGCCCAGAATAGCCTATGGCTTCATGGTTAAAACACTGTACTAGGCCTTGCTCCAGAACTATTCAGTTGCTATATATTGACTTCACTACCAGAGGAGCAGTTTATGAATGAAAGCATGAATGAATGTGATTGGACCTTAGCTTTCTAAGTACCAAACCCCTGATCTGATCTGTGAACTCCTGAAGGAGGCCGCTATCAGAAGCAAGTTATTGGACCAGGCAAATTATTCGTTTTAGCCTGTTTGACAGTCATATTATTGAGGTCCAGTCAAGAGAGCATGTTTATCAATTTAATTTTTGCAGATGATACTATATTAAGATAGCAATACTATATTAAGATAGCAATTGATCTCTTCATCTTCCTGTCACATACATTTTCCTTCTTTAACTTACAAATTGGTTTTTTGTTTTATTTGAAAAATGTATGCCTAAACAGCATATATGTACCATGTTTCAAATTACAGGATACTTGAGCTGTTTAATAAGTCCAGATCCCTCCCTTCTCATGATAATTTTCTGATAATATTTTCGTTATAATTGTACTGGCCTGTGACATTATTATAACTTGCACTTGAGACCAGTGAAAGGATTACTGCGATTTCACACATAAATAAAAGAATAAATACAAGACAGCTTTTACATTTTTTATTTTTACAGGTGCTTTACACTAAGTGTCTTTAAAAGGCTAACACTAGAAATAAATCTGGGAAGTATTACCTTCAGAAAGATGAAAGTGGGATTAGTATGCTTACAGTTGCTTTCTGTGTTTTTAATTCTGCAAGCATCCTGAATTGGCTACTAATGAGTGTTGAAGCTACCTGTTTCTTATGTACACGGGTATATATTCCCAGAAAAGGCCTCAGAAAATAACTTAAAGGTGATTTTTTTGTTGTTGTTGTTTTTTGTTTTTAAACAGGGCATTATTCCGAATTTCTGTAATTGGGATTTTAATTCTACTGTTTTTTACACAATAGAAGATTTAGCAGAGTCCTAATTTAAGATTATGTGATATTGCAACTTGGAAGCCATGAGCACAGAACAAAGGCATAGAAAGATGAGTTACCCACAAAACTCAAGAATGGCCTGAAACTTTCAGAGGTAAACACAAGAAAAAAAAAAAAAAGGGGGGGGGGATATGTACTTTCTGTATGCACTGAATTCATTTTTTTCTAAGCATCAGAGAGAGGCCGAGTTGCCCTGGGTGCGGCTTGCACTGTGGTCTCTGCTTGATCAGTAAAAAAACAGTTACTGGTGTTTAGTACTTACTGGAGGACTGGAAAATGATTTGACAAGTAGCAAAGATTAGGGAGTAGAGGAAATGTCCTTCAAGAGGGTTGTTAACTCTCTGCTGGGTCCACTGATAAGATCTGTATGAAGTCTATTGGGTTTTGAACTCCATGATGATCTTGGCGGAGTGATTCTCTGGTGTCTCGTGAAAGCCCAGCATGAGATAAAGGTTCCTGGAGACTTCTAGGAGTTGAGGCAGCAGCCTGCCACTGCTGGTGTATCGGCCAGGGAGGTAAAGGTTCGCTGCCTTGAATATCAAAAGGAATTCAATCATACAAGACTTTGGAAGCTCCACCTGAAAAAAATTGTCCAAGCAACGCTTTTGAGCAGAGCTAATGAAAGCTCTGTCAATGATCTCCTCTAGCTTATTGCATGAGAAATAAAATGTCCTGATACATTTCAAATGAGGTTTGAAGGGTTTATTAAGAATGCCATCTCTCTTCTGTTTTGGAAAAGTGCAGGAACTTTTATTTCCTGTGTTTTTCCTCACTTTAGTAATTGTTAATTGCTGATTAAGTTACGAGACTGACTATCTTTGTAGTGATAATTTCTGATGTAACTGCAGTTCCTTAGAGCTGTTGTTAAAGAAATTGACAGAGACCGCTCCTGAGTGCGGGAAAAATACTGCTACCAAGCAAAAATATTTAAGTTCATTGTACCCTTTTCCTCACTTTATTTCATTTATGTAGACACTCTGGCATTTTAGAGCTCTGAATAGTCTTTACTTGACATGAAAACCAATTGATTGTCACAAGGGGACTTGGATAAATAACAGTCTGAGTTGTAAGTTTTCTTGCCGTTTCAGCTAAATTTAAGAATAGACAACTATATTTTTTCAAATTTTTTAAAAAATACGTAAAAGTGTGAACTGGCTGTTTTATATCTTCTTATATTGTATGTTACAATGAGATGTTCTTTTGAAAAATACGAAAAGTTATTTTTTTTATGCAAGATATTCTTCTATGTTATTCTCACATGAGCAGTGAGATAAGTCATTGTATGTGCAACTTTAAGGAGAAGTCTGTTAATAGCTTTTCCTGAAGTTTATACTTCTTTTATCTACACTTCAATATTCTATATATGTAGAATTTCAAGAATATGGAATATTTGTTCCATTTATTTAAGCATGATGAGTTTAGTTTCTGAACATTAGATATACCAAAGTATGAGTCTGACATTTCAGATGTAAGGCTAAATTCAAGTTCTGTTTCTTAAGTTCACAAACGGTCATTTTCTAATGCTGGTTAGAAGTGGTCAGTTTTTATTGCTGTAGTTTTCATCCCAATTATGTGATCTTTGTATGTTTTATTTTGTTTTTGATTCATATATTACCCTTGTGATTTAAGGTAATATCTTTTTGCAAACAAAAAAAAAAACTTCTGTGAGATAGTTAGCCCATGCTGTTTGAGTTATGCCCCACATGAATACAGGTCTCTGTTTTTCCTTTTTTGCTCCTCTTTTAGAGCTGCTGCTATGGCTACTACAGTGAACTTGGAGCTTGATCCCATTTTTTTGAAAGCCTTGGGCTTCTTGCATTCGAAGAGTAAAGATTCTGCTGAAAAGCTGAAAGCACTTCTTGATGAGTCTTTGGCCAGAGGAACCGATTCAAGCTATCGTCCTTCTCAGAAGGTATTGGTATTAAGAGAGCATGGGTCATTTTCATATGCTTTATTAAAGCTCCAGCTGTTCCTGGTTTGACTTTTATAGCTGAAATGTTAAAAGAGAATCAGAAACAGAGGGAAAAGGAAAAGTAATTGTGGAGTGTTCGCATTGATCATTCTCCTTGTATGCAGCATAATCCATTCCATTAATTGAAGTAAAAAGAATTCTTTCTCATTAACCTTGTTGATACGTCCAGACTTGTAAAAGAGCTATTCTGCACTGTATTGCAAGTGTTGTGACTTTGTGATGGGTTTTTTTTTTTGATTTGATATTGGCTGTGGCATTTTTGTTAGTTAGCTGTCATACTGGCTGTCCAAGGTGAACTGAAACGATGGATTTTTCCAGTTTTAATTATAAGTAAATGCTCATAAACATGCAGATTATTTTTGCCAGGGATAAATATTAAACAAAAAATAGTTATACACTGATAAAATTGGATCTTCTTTCTTAAAATACTGTTGACAAAGTAATATAAGAATGAGAAAAAATCCCAAAGGGTTTAAAGCAAAAATGGTTTGCAGGATGAAACCCTTGATGTCCAATAGTGAAAAATTATTTTTCATCTACTGAAAATCACTACACACCTGCTACAGAGAATATTTGATTCTGAGATTAGTGTATGAAAATAACCAGGCAAGGAAATCCCGATATTGCTGTGTTATAGCCATATGGATAACAAGATTGTATTCTCTCCTAGGATGCCTAGAAATTAGGCTGGCATGTTCAAATGATGGTCTGTTTGCTGATACGTTGGTAATATGGTGTTTCTACATGTATATTGTTCCAAATAATAAAAAGCAGGGATAACAGGAGTATAAGGCACTGTTACTCCTACAGTATCCACAATGCTTGTACTGTGTGGTCTAACTCTATTCAAATTGTTAACTCCTTTAAACATAAATAACAGCTCCCTCTACACCAGGTCACGAAACCCTCATGAGCCCTCTGTATCAGAGCTTAAAGAAGCATTAGTTTTATAGTTTAAAGAGGAAGCAGGGAAACAGAATGACACCTCAAAGAGGCTTGGGAAGCTAATTCTGATAACAGCCCGGCTGGTAGTCACCTGCCCGCAGGTGAGACTGAGGCTCAGGCTGGAGGAAAAATTTTGTTCCCCTGTCTTCTGTGTCTCCAGTATCAGCTGGACAGCAAAGCCCAGAAATAGAGAGGGGGAAAAAAAAGTAGAATTCTTTTCCATGCGTTCCTGAGCTGCAAGGTTAGTCTGTTGTTGACGATAGTGAAATCTTAAGAACAGAGTGAGGAGCACAGGGATATCACAGTCGGGCACAGGAGGAAATCCATTTCTGACTGTGGGTTTGACAGGAAGTCAGTAAACTTGCAAGGCTGAAGCTCAAGGCTCAGGACCAGTCCCAGTATACAGCAGAGAATTAGCCATATCTTACCAAGGTGGAGGGGGGTACCTTGCTCAAACATGTTGCTGAAATTAATCACTCATGTGCGTACTCACTTGCTTATTATCCATTGCGGACACTAGTGCATAACTAATAAGAACTATTGATTTCTGTTGAGATGTATATCTAAATGTATTAACCTGAAAGGTGAATATGGACTGAGATTAAATACAGGTCAATACTTTTCTCCATGAGGGAACGAAGTATTGATGTCCAATGATATCAGATATCAACTTGTAATTTCTGCATACATTGAATTTTTGTCTTCAGAACTATTTGAAAATTTGTGTTCGTTATCTCATTGAATTTTAAAAGTAGAAAAGTTTTCCCTTTTAATTAACGTTTCAAAGGGAAGCTGTCTTTAGAAAAGAAACACTTTTTCTGCAAGGTGCGTGATAAAGAGGAGGTTTTATTAATTGACAGCAGCTTAAATGCACTAACTCGTGGATATGATATGAAAAGATTTCGAAATTATAAATATATATTTATAAAATACAGTATACATATATATTTGTAGGCATACATAGGTGAGTAATGTTGTTTGACGTGGAATGTCATTCCATGCTTTTCCACGTGTGCAAAAGACATTTTTTGCCTCACCTGCAATCTAATAGGAAAGTAGGAAGCAACCTGTGTAGGATTTGCCTTCCGTTTTTGTTTCTCGTGTTTCAGGAAGTAGAGCAACCAAAAGTATCTGTTACCAAACCTGTTTCCAGTAAGCAAGAGCCTAAAGCGTCTTCTAGTTTGCCTTCAGGCAACAACAATGGCAAGCCGACTGTATCAGAGAAGGTGAAAAAAGAAACAGAAAAGAGATCAGGTGACAAAGTAAGTCTAATTTTTGTTCTATAATGAAAATGTGGTTAATACATTTGGAAATGGCTGTAAACAAAAGCTCTCTTCATGTGTAACTTGTGTAACTCAACTCTTACCTAATTGTCCATAACCTATGAGCTGTCTTATGCAATCATGTTGCTGTTTAGGCAATCTAGCAAAGGTTTTCTTGTATTTATTCTCTGAATGCTTTAAATTACTAAAATTTTCTGAAAGAGGTTATTAAAACATAGCAATCTGAAATGTGTTTCCCAAGGCAATCAGATTTTGAGCTGAAGTGGAAAAGTGGCCTTGAGTTTCTAGTTGATAAATATTTTGGAGAAAATAAGTATCTAAGGAAAATAAGTTGTGTGTTTGCTGTGTATCGTAGACCTTCGTATACTGTTAACCTAGTCTTTCCAGACATTTTTCGTTTTAATAGTATCCATTAGCTTTCTGCTTTTTCACATTCTCTATCTGTGCTTAATAGATAAAAGTGGAAGCTGCTGAAGGAGTTGATGCTCCAAAGAAACCAAGACTAGAGAAGCAAGAGGCTCGTTCGTCTCCTATTACGGTTCAGACGAGCAAGGATTTATCCATGCCTGATTTATCTAGCTTTGAGGAAACTAGTGCTGATGATTTTGCTATGGAAATGGGTTTGGCCTGTGTTGTTTGCAGGTAAGTCAATGCTGCTGCATTGCAATTGCGTAGTTACTTTTTTTTTTCGTCTGCGTACCATTTAGTTAACGTTTTCTGAAGTTTTTATTCTGGAAATCACTTAAGCACTAGTAATACGTTTAAGCATCTTTCATGAATAAGAATGGTTTCTTGAAAATGAAGCCTTTAATGGGAAAAATAACTTTTCTTCAGAAAAGATAAAGTGAAAAATAATGAAGTTAGACAAGATGCAAATCTAGTGTGACAAATGCTGATTTCTGATTACTGGAAGACAAGCTGAAATATTAATAGCTAATGATAAGCAGCGCTATAAAAAACAAGTTCTTTTCTGTGGAAGTATTCATTTGGTGTCATCATTATGAGGGGTGTGTGTGTGTGTGTTGCTCTTCTCTCCGTAATCATTTGCCGTTGTTTACACATAACTATGTTGCTTCAGTTAACGCTGTAAACGCGTTACATCCTCCAGTCAAGGCAGGTTCTTTTTGCTTTCCAATAAAGGCTCTAAAGTTGGAGTTTAACAGCATTCTGGTAACAATCCATCTAGTGTTAACAGAAGTAAGATTTGCAAGGAAGTAAAATAAAGTATGCTTTTGAATATACACCCTGGGATCAAATCACTTCAGTAAGGATTTGTTTTTATAGTTGGTTTATGTCCCTGCAAGTCCCCACTGCTGCCAAAAGGAACACTTTGGATTTTCCCAGTTGTACCTCCTTCCCTGCCCCATTTAGGGAGTGTACTGCCCACACAGTTAAGTGATCGGCTGGATCAGCTTCTAGATCAGTTCCCTCTCAGGTTTTTCAGTAGGATTAGATTTCAGTCAGCTTAGTGAGTGTAAATACTTATGCTGGCGCATGGGTGGATGCAGGAATGTGAGGCTAGGATAGGGAGGAAGATGGGGCTAGCTTTTCAGCAGCAGTATGTATTTTAGCTCAGCTTAAGCCAATTGTGAGCATGCATCCTTTATAACTTTGTTCTTCAGTCATGTCTATGGTCATTCCTGTTGTGCAGATGAGGTGACTTAAATCTCATCAATCCACGATTAGTTAATGTCATCCTATTCTCATGTGTTAGCTTGAGTGTTTAGCTTCTTATTATAGACTGTTGAAAAAGGAAAAATAGTTGAAACACTTGAAAGACTTCTTTCATTTACATTTCAGTTTTACCTTTTTTCCTCCACGTTCCATTTCTGCTGTCTCTTAAAGGGACAAAGCCCTGTTTGACAGTATTTTAAAATGGTGCTAAAACTAGCACAGTATTAACTCATTTAGCTGAGGAGGAAGGAAAGTTTGGTGAAGACAGTCTTGAGCTGCTGTGTTTTACTGATTCTGCATCTCTCAAGGCAAAGGAAAACGTACACAGACATAATGAGAAGTGAGCAGTAAAGGAAAAAAACTAGCTACTGTGCCTAGTGTGGCCAGCAGCTTGTTTTGAAAAGCATAGGCCAGGAATGTGGTTCCATTAGCTCTTCCATAATCGAAGTTTAACCTAGCTGCTGAAGGCATTGCTTCTAGCTAGTCATTATGGTCACAACTTCATAGTACTCTTGCGAAAGATTTATCTATCTTAACTAACTAGGCTCTTATTAACCTGACGCTGGAGGGAAGGAGAGAGGGAGAAGTGCAGCGGGAAACAAAACAGCCTATTAGAGAGAAGATAGCATCAGTCACCCAAGGCTCAGGACTTGTTTTAATTTTAGATGAAACCTGCTGTGAAGTTGATATCGTTCAGTTCTCTGTCTCTAGCTCAGCCTGGATAGGAGGTTTTTCAGAGCGTTCGTGCCTCAGATTTCCTGAAACCACACATTCGTTAAGACTCTGTTTCCACTATTTACTGCTCAGCGTTCAACATGAGGGCGTTTTGTGATCTGGGCACCCCAAGCTGAAATACTAACATCCACGTATCTGTAAAATATAAAAGCATTGGATACTTCTGTAAAATAACACAGGTACATATAGTATTTGAAAACTGACACCTGTTAATATTTGTATTCAATCAATAGTGAGTGGAAACATGATATCTAGTTGTAGAATAAAAGAGAATCTCATCTACTCAGAGTCAAATGTTTTATATTTATATTATGTAAGAACATAAGTTAAAGACAAGAACCCAGCTGTGCAATTCAAAAATGCAAAAGAATGTGATTGAGTACTAACTATTCCCACTTTATAAACATAGAAACTAAAGCAGAGACATTAAACATCTCTAAGATTTGCATCAGAATTCAAGGTAGAATTGATATGTTCTTCTTTCAAATGTTGCTCCCATAACACACACACACAGGTTTGCTAAGGGTAACAGTGATCAGAAGAACTGAGTTTTGACCTCGTTTCCTTTTTTCTTTTTCCTTTTCTTTTCCTTGTTCTATAATACCAAGTTAGACACAAGGAGGGAGGGAGTAAATAACCTCACCTTCTCCAGCACATGCAGATTCTAGAAAAACAGGAGTCACTGATGTTGTATGGCTCTTCAGTTACATGAAGAAATATTGCATGCAATTTGCAGGTGAAAATGAAACCCCCCCCCCAAAAAAAAAAAAAAGATTTCCTAGGCAAAAAAGTTTTTGAAAGAACAGCCTTATCTCTTATGAATAATTTTTTTGTTGTTTTCTGAAGGTAAAAAAATCATTAAGTTCATTTCTTGATTAACGAATCATCTTACAATAAAGCTAGTTTAACTTGTTTCTGGACATGAAAAGTTCAAGTTTTTCTAATCAGTCTAGGATTGTTCTTTTGTAATTTTAAAATAGGGTGAGGTATCTCCTCCCTTGAGACATGTGCTTGGAACACCACTGCTTTGTTCTGACCCAGTTTCTTTAGGAAAAACAAACAAACAAACAAAACAGCATTTGAAATATTGTCAACCTAAAATAAAAGGCTCTGGAATTTCTGAAAGGTTTCTTCCTTTGTTTTTTTAAATAGCCCATTTAAAAAAGAAATGTTATTTAGAAAATGCTCTAGTGTCCGTATGGACAATATCTGCTGACTTCATTTTCCTGTTATAGAAAGAAAGAAGGTATTACCTTTCCCCACCCATCCACAAATAGAGTTTCCATGGTTACCTGAGTACCTGCTCCTCAGGGATGTGAGCAAAAGCAGCTTAGCAATTAAATAGCCTGATTTGTCATCTGAAAGAAGAAATCATTAGGAAAGTGGTATTGGGCTAATTCACAGATGTACTTCCAGTCATGTGTATATCACTAATTTGTCATTTATACAGTGTGATTACTTTCACCAGAGGCCCACATAAAATTAAGTCCTCATCACCAGCTTACATGTTTGCTTCAAGGCAGCACTGCACAGTTAATCCTTTCTGTTCCATCTTTCCATGATTTTGGTATTATCTCAGATTCCAAGTGTCTCTCTGTGTAGTAGGGGCCAAGAGAATGGCTAATAAAACATCTGTAAAGTCGTATACGTCTTGCATGATGATGCTTTTAAATCCTTTAACAGAAAGCACCCTTACATGGTTGTCAGTGAGAAATTATTTGTTCTTGAGCTGTGTTGCTCAAAAGCTTACAGCAAAGTTATCCAAAGGTAGACTAGGCCTTTGGATGCTACTACAGTGGGGAGGTCAGATCGTTGGTATACAGCGAGTCATCCAGAAAATCCTCAGATGAAGTAAAGCAGGTGAGACTTAAATTCCTAAAATAAAAATCAAACAGGTAAACAGTGCCATATATGCATGTGAAATAGTGTTGAAGTTTTTAGATTTCCTGAGAGAGCTGACACAAAAAAAGATCTAAAGTTTCTGAAACATTTGTTAGAAAGAACTCGTACTGGAAGAAAAGAGCGTATTTCGTTTGCCACAGGTAGAAAATATATGTGAGACCAATAATATTTTTAGTTTTTATATTAAGCCTTACAAAACTTGCAACAATTGGATAATCCTTAAAGTGCTTTCTCCCATAATCTGTTCTTAACTATTTGCTCTGCAGGCAAATGACAGTTACTTCTGGGAATCAGTTAGTGGAGTGTCAGGAGTGCCATAATCTCTACCACCAGGATTGCCATAAACCTCAGGTGACAGACAAGGAAGTGAATGATCCTCGACTGGTTTGGTATTGCGCACGCTGTACCAGACAGATGAAGAGAATGGTAGGAATCATTTTTTTTGTCTAGCATGAATACTACTTGAATACAGCAGGCTATTTCTAATATATGAGGATTTTTTGTTTTGTTTAAGGTTATAGAAATCTTTAGAAGCATGTTGAAGAACCGTTTTTCACAGCAGTGTTTCTGCTGCTGCTGCTGCTTCTGTGCTTTTTAATGTAACATCTGAAAGAGCATTCAATAACGTACTTCTTAAACAATGCTTTTTTAGAAGCAAAAGTTGAGTAAAGAAGAGTCAAATAGGATTTTTTCCTGCTTAGTAAGCAACTGTTAAAAGCATTTTCATTTCAGGTGATACTCACTTTTAGTACAAATCTACCATATAGCCATATAGTTTTAATTTTTATCTTAGTGGTGGAAATGGATGTTTTCCTCTAACAACAAACTGCAAATTTTGCTGGGTGTTCTGAGGCTCCATAATAGGCTGAGAAGTAGCACCTTCCTGGAAAAAAAATCCCTTTATTTTATTCATGTGTGTGTTAATTTCTGACTATGTAGACTAATTACTCCTGATGGCACAGCAGAGGCGGTCCACTCATTCCTTTGTGAGAAACATATGTTGGAGGAAGAAAACATCTTTGGGTGTACTGAGCATTAGTTGTTTGTTCCCATGTCTTTACTCGTCATTATATATCAGAAAAATATGTTTTCATTTGGTTCTATTTTATGGTAACTTAGCAAGCTGTTATCTGTTGGCTTTATTAAAGAAACAAAAAAAGGTGCTGAAATACTTGATTATTCTGAGGACCATTAGGCCTTTGAACTCAGAGGGGTTTTTTGCTTGAGGTCAGGTGTTCCCCTGGATAGGCCTTGCAGCAATTCAGCCTTTCCCTTCAAGATCCTAAGTTGCTCTCTTTGTTTCTGCATAAATTCTACCATCTTACCCACTGCTTCTTAGCAGACTCTCCAGGACAGCCTGGGTCCCAGTACTGCTGGATTCTGTCCATACCTTCTTCAAGTTCACCTTTATTCTCCCTGTTCTTGTGAAGGCCCAGTGCTTTCCTATCCTTAAGTGACAGCACTGCCTCTCTTCACGCTGAAGTACCAAGTCCTATTCAGTATGCTTTTTGGCTGGATTCTTTCCCCAGTGCTATACTTGGCGCTGCTCCTACAGCTGCAGTCTTGTCTTTTTCTTGGCCACTGTTCAGCTTGAAATCTGGTATTTTAAAGGCTAGACTGCAGTCTCACAATGCTCATGCTTTTTGTTAAACTGGTCAATGTTATGGGGGCCATAACTAACTTGTTTTTTTTCTACCACTCATGCAGGCTCAAAAGACACAAAAACCACCTCAAAAAACAGCTCCTGCTGTGGTTTCAGTTGCGCCAGCTGTGAAAGATCCATTGGTCAAGAAGTCAGAAATTAAGTCAAAACTTGATAATCCACCAGCTTTTCTAGCGTTCAAGAGAACAGAAGTCAAGGTAATGTAATTTAAATTTTCTGGAGGAAGAGTTCACATTTCACTGCACCGATATCATAATTTTAATTAGACCAGTCTTTCCTCACAAGAACCACAGCTGAAAATAGTCTGCTTTTCCATGTGTACTAAGTAGTACCCTAGCGCAGTGGTTTTGCATTAGCATTAAAAGAATTAAAAAATTCTCAATTCAATTATGAGTCCCTAAAGCATCCAGCTCTTGACTGTATTTTTATATTGCAGAGGAGAGAGCAGAATTCACTCGGGGGATTTTTTTAATGATACTTTATACAAGTAGGAAGTCTCATAATTGTATAAAAGATATGATTTGCTCTCTGTGGCCAAGTAACATATGCATATTTTAGTAATTAGAGGGCGGCTTCTCATGGTAATAGGGAACTCCAGCTGACTCCCGTGAGATCTAATTTAGGAGGCTGCTCCTTCTCATATATGTTGTCACATGTTTCTACTTCTCAGAGTTATTCAATACATACTGTCGCAAGCTGGTTAAAGGTAGTAAACCAGAAGCAGCAAAATAAATAACATAGTAGTCTAACAAACCATGATCCTTATCTAGGAAAGCACATCCGTAATCAAAATCATGGCAATTCATTCATGTGCTCCAAGTTGTCTGTGGTATGTTTGCTTTGCCTGGATGGAAACTGTTGTGAATAATACGATGACTACTGCTCAAGCACTTGGCGTGTGTAAATAACTTTTTCACTGCAGCAGAGTTATGACCTGCTCTAGCAGGTTACAGAGCCTATGCGGGGTTGTAGGAATGAGGTCCAATTTCGTTCATTATTTTTACTGTTTACAAAATATCTGGATATATTATGGAGTAGAGAGTATTCGAGTATAGGATTTGAATTTTAGTTTTGACCCTGCCCTTTGTGGCTTTGGTTTAATAATTCAACATGTATGCTATTCCCAACTGAAAACTGGGAGTAGGTGGTATTGAGGTGTGGCAACCACAGTTAATGTCTGCAGAAAGTTTGTCCCTTACACTGCCTGAATGGGAAGACTAAAGGAAAGAAGTCCGGTGAATTTTTAGGGTTTTTAATTATGTATTATAGTGAGGAAACAAGAGGGGAAGGGAAAGGAAAGTTTAGACACCTCTCTCTTGACCAAAAGACTGTAATATCTGCAGTATTTAATTGCTCAGGGTCTGGTTTTTGTCTGAGCATCCGTCGTCTTTTTAAAAAGCAACACCAGGTAACCACAGCAAACAACAAAAGCTAGGCGATTGCCTTCATTGTTTATACTTAACAAGTCTGGGCTTTTTGTAATTACTTCAGTTAAACTGTCTTTTATAGTTTATTGGGATATCATGATGCCATATGGTAGCCTGTTAGCTGTATAGAAGAAGGGAAAGAAAAGGTAATACTGGATTTATTTGTTTGGGAAATTATAAGTTAACTGCACCTGTGCCCTTTCCTTTCCTTGTTAATGCTTTCAACTGTAGCAACCAGTAATAAAATACTGTCCAATGGGTGTTCCTGGGGAAAAACCAGGAACGGAAGCTTGATCTATTCCTGCCATGATGCATTACAGAAATAAATGTTACTATAGTAAGAATGATTTATTTATTTTAGACCTCAACAGCAGTTTCGGGGAACTCAGCCAGTACAAGTGTTTCCTCTTCAGCAACCAGTGGCCTTACAGGATGGGCTGCTTTTGCAGTCAAAACCTCCTCTGCCAGTCCCTCAACTGCCAAACTGGGATCAACAGCACAGAGCGCCAGTGGGAAACCTGCGGCCTCTTCTAATAATCAGAAACCTGTGGGTTTGTCAGGGTTGGCAACTTCCAAACCAGGACTAGGGTCAAAAATAGCTTCGGCTAACAACAACACAAACCCTGCTCAGCTGAAGCCTCCTCCACCTCTGACACTGGGAAAAACCACTCTCAGCCGTTCGGTAAGCAGCGACAACGTCAGCAAAGTAGGTCTTCCTAGTCCCAGCAGTACTACGCCAAGTAGCAGCAGCCAGGTACCCAGCGGGAATGGCAACAGTGGGACCACGGGTAACAGCGGGGGCAGTGCAAGCAAAACAGCAGCAGATACTGGTAATCAGTCAGCCTCCCTAAAAGGCCCAACTTCTCAGGAGTCTCAGCTCAATGCCATGAAAAGGTTACAAATGGTCAAGAAGAAAGCTGCTCAAAAGAAACTCAAGAAGTAACATAGCTGCTTGTTAATTTTATTGGTTGTGTTCTGTAAAACAACAGCATTGATATTTTTCTTAAAGAAAATCCCACAGTTACTAGACTGAAACAGTAGTTAAATCAGGGAAGACCAAAACCTACGTTCTACAGGAGGTCAGGCTTAGATGATCCTAGTAGTTCTCTCTGACTTCACAAATCTATGAGTCAAATACAATAGAGGAATATTCATTATAATATGCCTCCTGTTTTTTAGCTCAAAGCACTGAACCGTGACATTGTTAAACCTGGATTTTTTCTCACGTATTTAAAAAAAAAAAGAAGATTTATGTGCACACTTAATAAATTGGACTTCCAGAACCTGTCATTCTTAAACAGCATTATTAATAAAAGTATTATTAATCTGGGAAATCATTGCTGCTTTTCTTTCACACCCCATTTTCCAATACTTAAACTGAGAAATGCTTCTGCTGTTCAGGTTTTTCTATATTATGCAGAATTAATCAAGTTTATCCCAAGTTGTACAGCTCCTTAGGGAAAATATCTATTTATTTAAATGATTCCAAAAATGAACAATAAAACAATATATTCTATTTAAAGTGAGAATTTTAAGTGGCCTGTTTTGTATATTGAGAAACTTCATGGTCACTTTGTTGCTGCTGTAATCCTCTTCTGAAGGAGGCAAAAAGAGTATTGGCAAAAGATGAATGGCCTCTAACCTGTAATAAGGGTGAAAGAGCTAAAACAGTATTTTCAAGCTCTTCTAATCTATGAAGAACCTTAAGACTGTCCTGTTGTAATATGAATGGAAAATAAATGGAAGACACTGTATATTTGAATTAAATACACAATCCAGGTGAACCACACCTAAAACCTATTGAATTCATTTCTTGTATTTTGATGATGTGAGGGAAGGAAAAATAGAAGAAAATGAAAGGAAGTATCTTGGGAGCCTGTACGTTAGTGCTCTCTCTGACACACCTGAAACACATGAGACCTTTCAATCACGTAAGTATTCCATGCTGTAAGTACTGCTGTAAAATTCACAAGTCGTGTGTGTGTGTGTGTTAAAGTAGTAATGCCTGCCAGCCTGTCTTGGAAAACATAACTTCTAGTCTCTTAACTGTTGCACTGTAGCCTATGTGATTATTTAAAATAGAGTTGCTCAAATCGCTGCCTCCTCGTACAAGGAAGGAGCAAGGGCCGAAATCTCTTTAATCTGGTATAGTTAGTGACTGTTGGTCGCTTAAGTCCTTCTAAAGTGTTGAACAAAACATTTTTCTAGCCCTAGCAGATGTTTTGGGGGTTTTGTTGTAGTTTACTGCTTTTTTTTTTTTAATGTCTATTAGATTTTTCAAAGCAGTACAAAAAACTTTCCCAGCAGTTTTGGTGGGATGATACAGACAGAAATAGATGTATACAAATGAATGTCTTCCTTCATTTTACTCAAAGTAGACAAATGGTTCTTGTATATTCCAGAAGTTCCATTTCTTTCTCTTCGTCTTGGTGGTTTGCTTTTCAGAAGGAAAGCTCTACTCATGAATGCTACCTCAAATCTCCCGGAGGGTTCCTGCATTAAAGCTTATAAAAAGCTATTGCAGAATTTCTGACAGGATCTTTCAAGGCTTGTCTGTAGATAAGTTTTAGGGCCAGGGAAGAAGGGATGAAATTCCATATGCGATTTGGAGAGAAGGGCCAAGCTGTATTGGAGACGGAAGTGTCTTAAGCTTAAAGGAAGTTGACTCCAATCTTCTGGCTACATAAGCCTCATTCACAAAGAAATCATGAGTCACAGACCTTACACAGCTCTATTAGGGTACTGGTTTTATCTTGTAACTCATAATTAGACAGAGGAAAAACTGGAAAAAAGCAAAACAAAACAAAAACCCACCAGTTCAGAGCTTGCCCATATAGTTCTGTGACCCATGGCATTCTCACTACTGGCTTTTTTGTTTGGTTAGACTGTCAACAGTGTCTGAGGGCACAAGGGCCAGGATCTGGAACTTGGGAGGTCAAATTTTAGGAATCAGTATAACCTAGAATTGGGATCCTGATATGCCCTTGTTAGGGTTGTCATATAGACTACAGATGCGACAATGTTACCAGAGCGGACTTGATCTGAATTTTCAAAGAGGTTGTCCCACTATCTGTCCGTGCCATTCGTGGGGCAAAGGAATTTTTTGTTTGATTTAGGAAGGGGGGCAGGGATATTCAGAAACCCTTTTTCTGTCTTCCCTTCTCACCTTCTTTTTTTTCTTCTTCTAGTTCACTTGTATTTTTAAGTGCCAGAAATAATATCAGGTATGTTAGATGTTAAAATAGGTCCAAAATGTTTGTAATCTCATATTTTTTCAAATATAAAAGATTGTTCAGAGACTTTTTTTTTTGCTTTATTCCTTCATGGAAACGATGGTTCATATTTTGCATTCAAATGGATTAATGAAAAAATTTAAGATTTTTTTAACCTTACGTTTCTTGTTCTACTCAGTGACATACTCTAAGACTTAATGGGAGCTGTCATATCTGTATTTACCTTGCATTGTTGCTTAGTGTCTCCGTTCCAGGAGAAAATGAAGCAGATGCTATTGGATTATTGCGAGAGAGAAGCTATGCCGAGGCAGAGTTCCAACCAAGCATGTTCCAGCACAACAGCAGTGTCGAGGTGACTTCTATCTAGCAGCATCTTAGGTGCTCTGCCTAACTGCCCATAGCACTAATAACATGCAAGAGGGTGCGGGGAGAGGCATTCATCTCTGTGCATGGATGTTCGGGCCCGATATACTGAATTCTCAGTTCCAGGGCATTGGTAGGATCAGCTTTGTCTTTCTTCCCATAGCAGCACCGTAGCCTCCTCAGTCCCCCAGCCCCTGTGCAGTCTTGCGCTTTGCCTGGCCGCTGTTAAAAAGGAGGTGTCTACATACTGCGACCGCCTCGCCGGAACTTCCCATTCAGGCCTCCCTGTGGCATTTTCCCAACTAGACCTAGTTTTCACGCCCATGGGCCTCCCTTCAGGTCTTTCCACATATCCTGCCGCATTCTGTTACTCCTCTCCAAACCTGTCCTGTGCAGGTATGCTGAATGTTTTACCCACTGCTACTAAGAAAGGTAATGGAGAAAGTATGAGGTCTTCCTGCTGTCCACCTGCACCTCTGAGCTCCTCTTCACCCCTTGTGTGCCCTCTGCTCCGTGTTTCGTTCAGCGCTCAAATCTGTGGCTCAGACCATGCATGCTGAGTGCTGGAAAAGAATCTTGAGTCTCGCTGTTTGTGACCAGCATGCAGCAATCCCCTCTCTGCCCTTTCCATGGTAAGGGGAGCATCTCTAAGCAGGGAAATGCCTCAGACTTTAGGGTAGATGAAAACTACAGCTTATCTTATCATCCTACGTTTTTGAATGTGTAAAGCTGATACACGCAGCTATTTTCCTCACCTCCTTTCTCCTCTCCACAATCAAGACTTAGACCTAAGGTTTCTTAAACACCCCAAGGAAGAGCTTCATTGTTCTTTACTACCCGCGTTCTATCTGCATTCTTCTTCTAGTATCACTTTACTGTGAGGGGGATGGAAAAAAGATTTTAACTTTGTATTGCCTGTGGCTTCCAGAATGATTGAAAAATAACAGCAAAAAGAGGAGGAATCCAGAAGGTTTTATTGCCTTTGGATCAAGCTATCTTTCCTGCTCTCTAGCACAGGAGGTTTTTAATGTTGGTATGGGAGGCAAAGACATTGAACCAGTTTACATTTTCAAACAAAAGGCGTTTTTTGCCTTCTAAATGTTAATCTGAAGAATATTGCCTACACTATGAAGTAGAGCATGCAAATAGGTTTTTTTTTTTTTTAGTGACTAGAGTGATGCTGTGTAAAGACATTTGCTCTAGTAGTAAAATTTGCTCCCACAGGAAGGTTCAAGAGGTAAAACTGCCTCAGTCATGCCTCTGAATATACATATGGTTTTGCTTGTAAGAGTTTGGGAGCTTACATTTGAACTCTGCAGTTTGCTTGTAGGTATCATGTATCAGATGAACAAAGGCGGGGGGGAAATTGATTTTTGTTTTCAAATTGTGGTAGCTAGTCTCATTTTAAAATACCTCTGAGACCTGATTCAAGCATATCTGGATGTTTTTACTTCCAGAACTTTAATATGGGTTGACTGTAGGTTATCTCCTATTCATTTTAGCATAAAATAACTTATGCTATACTACTTATGCAAACCTGTTGTAATAAGGCCAAGTCGAGATGGTGTTTGCTGATATAGCAAAATCTGCAGTAGAGCTGTAATTTATATGAGCAAAATACTTTTTCTCTGTAACTTTACCAGCTTCCTAAATGAAATATAAAGTCTCCTTCTGTTGGTATAAAAATGTCAGTTAGGATTGCGATTCTTTGAAGTGTTATATCAGGAAGGATTTAAAGCATAGAGCCGGTCTTTTAAGTCAAGTGTTTTGCTTGAATATGTAAGATAGGAACTGTTGAAAAACATAGTAGCTTGAAGGGAATAGATGTTTTCTGCTTTGAAGTTATAGTTAGGATAGAATTAACAACTCATTTTTCAGGAAGGCAGTCTGTTCTACAGTATTGTTCAATTGAATTCACGTTTCAGGCTGAGGAATCCACTATAGGGTAGAAAGAATGAAGGCATCAGAATGAAGTCTAAGTGTACCTTATATTTAGAAGAGATGACTAGAAAATAGTCCTCTGACTTTGCATCCCCAATTCAGATTGCTTTGTGGTTTACTATTTAAAAAAAAAAAAAAAAAAGCTACTTGTCTTTCCTTATCTATTTTATAAATTCGTATGGTAATATTTTCCTTCCACGTAAATACAAAGTTTTTCATAGATGTCCAGATTCTGATATCCTTAGTATTGTGGAAATAATACTCATGTTTCATTAAAAACTCCTGGCAGGACTAGAGGATGTTGATATTGTCTGGATACAAGAGGAAAGATGCTGGAATCTAGCCCAAAGTTCTGTAATATATTTTAGTAACAAACTTTATTTCTATTGCAAGTCATCACTGAACGCAGATTGGATGTAGCAGTAATAATGGTCACAACTACAGGAGAAGCTAGAAAAGAACGGACCTAACCTATTATTTGGAAACTTGAAGTGTACTTTGAAACTTGTTCAGTATTTTGATAACAAGTTCTAATATTTTAATATATAAGCTAGCATGTATACTAAAAATGCACTGTTTTATCTGAGGCAACTGTCCATTTCCTCTGCTCTACCTATTTTGCAATGACACTTTTTACAGTTGATAACAGAAGGCAGATCTTGGATTGCATGTTAAACCCCTTTGCGTCTGTGAAAAAGTCTTGTTT